GGGGTTTCTGGTTAATGAATGGCGCGTGTCCGGAATCGGCAAAGGCAAAACCTTGCGGTAGAGTCGTAGACAAGGAGGGCATAGAAAATGGGAAGCAGAGAATGGAAGTGGACACCGGAGAGAAAGGAGAACACTCAGCGGAGGCGGGAGAGTTTTGAGTTGAAAAAAAACAAAAGGCCGGCTATTCCGGCACCGAGCGCCCCCACCACATTCTTTTTAAAAAAAAAAAAAAATTAAAAAAAAAAAAGACAAATCGAGTTAGTTTAATTTTCTATCGCCTTCGGATCGGATTCGGGTTTACACAATCCGAATCTGGCGTGGTTACATATGATATATTTTTTAATTCTAAGTAAAAAATATATATTAGACATTTAATTAATTGTATATATAATATATTTTAAATTTTATTTAACAAATTATATGATATATTTTTTTAATTTAATATATACATATATAAAAATATCATATTACTCTTATTTAGTCTCTCACTATTAGTAACCATTAATTTATATCTCACTTATTAAATTTAATAATAAATGACATCTTATTATTGACCCAATTCCAAATTGAATGTAACATGAGTAAAAAAATGTACATAAATGGATTCAAAATAATTACAAATAACAAGGCTGGTGTTGTCAAATCATTCGCTTAAAATGTTGTGGTGAAAATGTGAGATATGTAGTAGAAGCCTTTTGGGTTATATTTAGGCAAGAGTGACCGATTGAGATTTTATAAAAAAAAAAAAATTATGAATCAGGGTAATATAAATTTTTTAGATTTTTTTTTAATATTATGTAAAATATTACTTTACATTTGATATAGTATTAAATTTTTATTTAGATTAATTAAAGAAATATTATACGTTAATAAATTTGATTTGTAATACTTATATTAATAATGATAGTTATTAAAAATTAAAATAAATTTAATCAATTTTTAAAAAAATATATATAAAGATTTATTTGAATAAAAATTGACTAATTTCAATAAATTATAAAATTACAATTTTAAATATTAAAAATTAAATAAGATTCAAAATTTACAAAACTATTATATTGGATATGCGGATTACAGAGCATCAAACATAAATGGTTCTACAGGGGAAAATGTTATATATATATATATGTACATGTATATTTGTCCGATATAGCACCATTAATTTTCCTTCTAGAAATGAAATTCATGCCAAATTAATGAACAAATTAACAGTGTCATGAGTTTCCCCTGTTGACATTTTAGTCTAGTATAGTATATATTATATTATATTACGTTATACACTACTTGTTAATTATTTAATTTGAGTAATCATAAAGAAAGAAAAAATTAAATTAATTATTTTTTTCTTATTAAAAAAAAATACCACGTTGGACCCAGCAATTAAAACAGCTACTCCAGCCAATTTTTATGTGCGAATATATAATTTTAATGAAAAAATACATATATGTATATAAATCAATGTAAATCCAACTCATGTACAATGTATATCTAATGTACATACATCAATGCAATAAATATTTACGTACAAACCATTTAATTATTGGCATGCAAAAACTTAAATGTCTCCAACTATAACTCTGCAACTATATGTAAATATAATGCACCAATTAATTGAAATTATATATATCTACTTGGGAAATTGTGATTATAGTAATATTTATGTATATATAATTAATACAACGAAACAATAATATTATAAGAATGTATATATATATATACCTTGGTAGAATATAATTAATATTAGAACCTTTACGTATATATGCAATATATTTTGTTATCTTTTAATTTATTTTCAGTTCCGATATCATGTGTAATAAAACCAATTTACTTCAATATATAGATGTTCTAAATATCAATATATATGTAATTTATGGCTCCAAATTTATATTACCCATGTTGGATAAAAAAATAAACTACCATATATATACATGTTGTAAAAATATAATATGATATATTTAGATAGATTTTGTGCAAGAGATTAATGTATAATTATATATAGTATAAGTTGATCTAAAAAACATAGGATGTGGTAAATTATATATATATATATATTAATTATAACGTACATTTTTATATACAAATTAAATTTATCATCTAAGTGGACCTAATATATTAAGATTCTAATCTTAAAATAGTACTGAAGTTAGGTGATCAAGATAGCCAGGAACACAAAACTATCATTATATATGATAAAGATAGTTAGGTGATCATATATTTATAGATGGATACGGGTTGACAATACATTATTGTAACTGAAATACTATTAATAAACATAGATAAGCAAGTCACCTATACTCACACACACACACACACATATATATATATATATATTAGAGATACCATGACATTTATCACATACCAAATTCTCTGTAAGTCCTTATAAAGTAAGAAATTAAGGTTTAAATAGTAATCAAAGTATCTAATTAGGAATCAATAGCTTAATCTCTTTTAATTAATTTATTTTCTTCTACAAAATAAGAAGTAAAAAAATGTATCATTCAAAGAGAAGAAATTATTTCTATTTGAATGATTTACGTACCCAATTTTATATATATATAATTCACGGACCCGATAGAATTTATATATCAACCAAAAGAAAAGATAATGACAACTCAAACGAAGAAGATCCAAAACCCAAACCGCCCAACACATGGATCTCTGATGATCTTTCGTAATAAGATCACCAAACAACTTGTCCTTGGATCAGTCTTTCAAAAGCTGATATATGTTTTAGGTGGAAGCAACTTGTATATGTATATATATATATATATGTTGAATGTGTATATATATATATATATATATATATATAGAGAGAGAGAGAGAGGACCTACAACTTGAAGAAAAGCGTCTGGGAAGATAATATTTTGCATGCGTAATTATATAGAATATCCAAACTTGTTGAATTTAAAAAGCTGATTTTCGACTTTGAATGCCCATATTACGTTTTTCTTTTCTTTTCAATTTTTCCTTTGAAAGTAACATGTAAAAGGTCACATGAAATGTTATGACTCAATTTTACTTTATACCTCCGTTCGTATTCCCTTTCCGACCGGTCCACTAATTTTTGCATCAAATATAAATATATGCATAAGTATATTTACACATATACGTGACTCATGAATAAACACAATTTTGTAACCCAAAAGTTGTGTGTTATATATAGATTGTGCGTAACTTTCATAGTTTAAAAAGTT